TCATATTGTAGATTTTCTCTATTTTTACTTGAAGTTTAGACTGATATCTTTGTCATCAAAATTATGGTGTGGTAGTGTAAGAAATGTCTTCTATATTCCTCTTTTCTTTCAAAGAAATGTCTTGTCACCCCACCCATGTCACCACACCATATGTTGATAAACAAATGGACTCTTCAGTAAAATGATAAAATTTTTAGTCCCGTACTCAAAAAGAAATATAATTACAAGTAAAACGAGACAGAAAGATAAATCTGAGTCTAGAAGGCAGAGTTGAAATAGGAAGTAATTGTGTTCGCTAGCATGGGTAAAGAATAGCTGCCTGGCTGATTAACGACGGGATTGGAGGTTAAAAAATTATGCATTAAGCATAGTAGTTAAATATGAATTATTAAATATAGTCATTAAAAGTTTTTAAAAATGAAATTAAAAAATAATAATAATAAGCAAATAAAAATTTTGAGATTGTAAATATATATATATTTGCTAAACTTTGGATATATTGTTACATAGTTAAACACTTATTTTGTTTGCTTGTAAGTCACTTTTTTAATTTAAGATAATTTTTCAATGAATAGATTTTTATTAAATTATACATAAACTTACTTTTGTCTAATGATTAGCAATTATTCATTAAAATTTAAATGCAGTTTTATTGTTTTTATTATGAATATAATTTTTTTAATCAATTTACTTAATTACCCATATTTATTGTATTTTAATTTTTATTTTTAACGACAATATTTTAAAAATTTGCAGCAAAAATGGATGCTTCAAAAAACAAGATAAGATATTCATCGAAAAAATATTGAACAACAGATTTTAATAAATATAAAAATTGCAGCTTAAGGAATTTTTCTGAAATACTATAAAAGTATTCTGACAATACTTTTATTTTATTCAATGAAATGTTTTTATTTCTACAAATTACTACGTATAATGAGGGCTCATTAAAAATCATACTTGGAATCCAAAAACTAAAATATTTTTATATAAATTATGGTAAGACAGATACAAAATTTGGCATCTATTTCGATTCGTTTACTTTCAAATAATTAAAAATTAGTTAAACGATTTAGATTATTTACAAGACCCTTATAACAAATACATTTATTTATTATTATTTCTTTTAACTTTCAGATTTCAAAAAAATTGTACTTTTTGATTTTTTAAAATTTATATAGAAATATTGTAAGTAAAATATTATTGTTAAAATAGTTTTTCAGCATTTTTTGTACAAGTTTGCAAAATCTTTTATGGTGCAGCGCTAGAAGGAATATTATTTACAAATGAAAATTTCCCTGAAATGAATTTAGTGTAGGCTAAAGTGAAAAATATTTTTTTATACCTAGGGGTGAAATGATTAGTTTCTGGGGATAAAATTTTTAATATTTTCAGAGCTTTATTAAATAAAAGAAAAAGTTTATCTTATTTCAAATTGTAATAAGACACACATTTAGGTTGAATGAATATTTTTAATACTATCACCGAATTAATTTCTCCCTAATGACTGATGTTAATTTTAAATGTTGGTTCCTAAGAAATTAAAAGTTTATTTTTCAATCATTTAGGTTATTGAATTATATTAGTTTTTATTTTACGACGAAAAAAAGGATTTTATTTGTGTGAGAACATCATTTCCAATTTAAATGCTTCATTTAGAAATTTTATAACTTGATTGCATGGAATTACATACATAATTTTCTATATAAATAATAAAATTTTAAAAACAAATGAAAGCATTTATTAACATTTTATAAATCTTGCCACGTTAGCGATATTCTTGCTTCAAATAATGTTTTTCTTCCCTTTGAAAACCTATTTTGGGGATATTTCCGCAGGTGAATAAGAAGAACATCAGACATTCCATAGTAAAGCTGGGGGTAGGAACTTTTTGCTACCTGTTTTCCAACTTCGGGCGTTTGCGGTATTCTGGGCGTGTTGCGGTTTAGGTCGCTCGGTATTCAAAGATANGAACATCATTTCCAATTTAAATGCTTCATTTAGAAATTTTATAACTTGATTGCATGGAATTACATACATAATTTTCTGTATAAATAATAACATTTTAAAAACAAATGAAAGCATTTATTAACATTTTAAAATCAATAAGTTTTACTTACTGCGCATAAGCTGCAAGTATATAGAACTCATAAAAAATTAGTTCAAAATGTAAAGAAAACATGGAAAAAATTACAGAATAATGAAAACGGAAAAGAAGAAAATAACTTTTTTAAAAAAATTATTAAAAATCAGGAAAAAAAGTAAAATTTCTATATCAGCTAACACGATTATATCCGCGAAAAGGAGTGCTTCTTTTTGCGGATATAATCGTGTGAGCTGATGAAAAGATTATATCGTTTTCTTCGATCTTTATTTATTTTAAATAACTTTTTTCATTATTCTGTAATTTTTTTCTTATATCTATATGCAAGCGCAATTATGTGTAACAAATTCGGGGTTACTTGTTTAAAATGTTGGGGAAAAGACATATCCGTGGGAATAAAGCACAAATGAAAAAAAATCACTCAATTTAAAATTCATTTTTTCCTATTCAGAATGGGAAGTACTATTTATTGTATGAAGAATTCCTCCAATAATTTTTAACAGATACTAGGGTGTTGGCTGATGACATTACGGTTTGAATCTCTTTACTGTCGGGTTATAAGAAAGCATGTTTAATCTTGCTATTACTCAAATGAGTACACAAAGAAGAATATTGCAATACTCAAAGTCTTCCTCGACCTCGATTCAAGATTACAAGGAGTTCTCAGACTCAAAACTGAGTTAGCTATTTTATTGAGCTTAGTTCTCAAGATATTTTTAAAATTGAAATATATCTTTCGACTGCAGCAGATGTAGTCAGTTTGTTTCTATAAATAATCAGGTGTGTTTTAAATAAATAATGCGGAAAATTTTATTNGTTTAATAATATAATACAAATGAAAATCTATTATTACTTTTAATATTACAGGCCTTAAAAAATTTTTTAAAAAAGGGTACCGTGTAGCCTTAAGAATTCTTAGAAGCAAAGAAAATCTCTTTTCATATCACGCAATAAATATTAGTCGATTAAGATTCATAAAAATTAGATTGGCGACATTCATCTGAGAATTTCAAATAGTTTTAAACGTTACTTTTATTAATATCAGTAGACGGAATAAAATGTCTTTATAGTAAAACTATAATATTTATTAAAAAGCATAGGAAAATACTGCAGTAGGAAGAATCTTACCTTTATCATGTGTTGGGCAAGCGTTACTTTGGCAAACTTCTGAAATGAAACAGCAATTATTATTTTTTTTTACGGTTGGTTAGTCATTTATTTATTAAAAAAAATGTCCATCATGTTTAATTTCGCAATTATTCTAATTAAGAAACGTGATGGCTCGGGGGATAGAGGATGACGTAAGCCGGGTTCGAATCCCGGCAATGGCTGGTCAATACAAATTCCTCATCCGGCTTGCACCGACCACAGTGCTGACGTTTAATATCCTCAGTGGTAGACGGATAATGGGTCCCGTTGCCGTCAGGGTAACAATGGAAGGTCGTCATGGTTTTCCCCACCATGTAACGTAAATGTGGGTTAGTTCCATCGAAAAGTCCTCCACAAAGGCAAATTTCACCCAATACTCGATCCAGGAGTTCCCTTGTCTTCTGGATCGGGTTCAAAATGACAAGGCTACAGAGTTGAAGATTACTAGTCTTTAACCCAAAAAATTGGGTCGGCTGTTCAACGACGGTTTAAAAATTATTCTAATGAGTACACATTGTCAAAGAAGAATATTCTTCGTTTCGCTAGTCAAGATGGAAAAAAAAATCCTCACATTACATTAAATCAGTAGATACTGGAAACAAATAATTTAAAAAGAATAAAAACAAAATGGTGACTGTCGATAACGGCAAGTTGTAGGTTTATAAACATTAACAAATTGATTCATTTCCCGTATTCACTGGTATTTAAAGAAAATCAATTCACAATCTTAAATTCACGTAAACAATTAATAGGAAATAGCATAAATACAAGATGGATTATTCCGTTTTTTGACGGAATTGACTGTTTAAGGAAATCCTAGGATGCTCTGGTAATCCAAGGATTGTCCGGTTCAGTTGTCCTAGGATTGACTGGCTTAGGTAATCCTAGGATAGGCTGGTTTAGTTGATTCGAGGATTGTCTGGTTAGGGAGTTGATAATTTCGAACTTATAGTTCTAGCTGAACAAAAGAATAATTTTTTTCGAGCACATTTAAATATAGAATAATTTTATACTCGCTGTGTCAGATAAATTCAATAAAGAACATTATGTGGTAGCACATGCTGTCCACATAACCAAATTTATAGTTCTATAGTTAGCTGATTCCACGATCTTTTTTTTTTTTGTTCATTTCCTACTATTAGTTTCACACACTCCCTATATCTTGTTCAAATTTTTAATAATCAACGTTAGATAACGTTGATTATTGAATATTTGAACAACGTTTTTAATAATCAATTTCCAACGTTAATAAAATACTTTTTATTCATCCCCTCAAGTTCAACTACATTTTTATAAAACTTATAGTGGATGATAATTGACGTTAATACAATTTTTTTCAAATATTATTCCATAAATAAATTTAATTATAATTAATTTTAGTCTTATAAGGGAGAAATTTTTTTGATTATTTAATAAAAAGTAACTAAAATAAAAAAATGTCTTTGCACACCTAAGTAGGAATTGACTTTTTGTATAACTTGTTCAACTAAGAAGATTCGTTTTGCGTCTGATTAACAAAACTTAATAGTTTAGTGCTAAATAATTAGCATATTTGCAGTCTCCATTATTATCAGCACTTACTTCATCCGACTTTTATTCAGGCTCAACACTCATCATCTCGGATTCTAATTTCAATTTGTGTTTTCTCGATACTTTTTTTTTGTACTAAAAAGTCTTTTGACGCTATAGTAATATTAGAGAACACAATACCTTCCAAACAAGGTAGAAAATAAAGGAGTCGCTTTATTAGATTAGGAGAAATAACGCTTCATAATTTTTAGAATATTAAATTTTTCCTCGATACTTCAAAGTATTAAAAATGATGCGGTCTTGAGGAAGTAATTTTAAAAATACAAACTCAGATTTTTTTTAAACAACTCTTACGTTATTGCAGTTACTTTTCGTCGTTTATCGGGAATATCGTTTTCAAATCTGCAGACGATTTTCAGTCATAGAACTTTGAGTTTAAATGGATGAAAAGCGATTTGGATCATATTAAGCATTTCTTGTAATGTTAATTGCATAAAAATAAATTGTTGATGGCCGAACTATTTTAGCATAATTTTGTCAGAAAAAAATGAATAGAGAATAAAAAATACTGCACGCATTATAATTCCAATTGTGACGGCCTAATATCTCGCATGCATCGAAAGAGGGTCCCAAGTCCAGTCCGTCAGTTTATTTGTGAAAATGAAACAATGCGGATTAAAATCATATTTAGTAATACATCCTTCAACGGTTTGGTTGGCTTCTTAAGAAGACGCTATACCAAAAGAGAAACCCTTCCTTTCAAATTCTTTATCACCTACAGATGTCATTTTAAGTTTAGAGGAAGAAAAAAAAAGTTTAAGTGAGCCTTGTGTAAACCACGAATTTTTAAATACTGAAGAATTGTTTTCAAATTATTTCAGGAATGGCATTCTGAAGACTTTTCCAGCAATAGGAAATTCGTGCCTTACTCTAGGTGCAAATGAACACACACACACATTTTTCTTCTGATTTACAAATGGAAAAGTAGAAACAGAATCTGACATGAAAAGTTTCTTTGTAAAAAGCTTATTCAATAAGCAAAGTGTCATTCGATATTTTTTTTTAGATCGTAACAGTATGGGTATATCGTTGCGTATTTATGCTTTTGTTCAAAACACCCGAAAACTCTAAATAACACGGGAATGTGTTCGAAAAAAATAGTCGAAAATCGCTGTAATAGATAAGGCATTTATCGTCCCTTTTTAATAAAAAGTGGAAAACATTACTTGTAACAATCCTTAAATAATTATTATTTTTTTAAAAAAAATATTTTTGCTTATGAGTAGAAAAAGATGAAATTATAAGAAGATTTTGTCACCTGTTCGACAAAGAATGAGTATGCAGATTGCGAAGAGCAAGCGAAGATGCTCCATGTTGTATGACCTGATTTCATCTACTGCTGCTGCCTCAGGTTAAAAAAATACCTCTTTAACATATTGAACATATATATCATTGATAAGTTAAAATGTTATCGCTACTTCTATAACCCTCGTTTTACATCAGAGGTGAGACGGGACGAGCATTCTGATGATGAAGGGGGGTGGGGGTAGCGTTATCAAGAATAGTTCAAGGTCACTTGAAGAACTTTTTTCCATCTCCTCCCTAGCGGGTGTTTTTTTTTTTTTTTTAATTTGTATGACGTTAGAGTAGTTTTTTTCTGACTTGGAATTTTAACGTTTAGTTTTCAACGTTAAAGTTTAATTAACTGCTTACCGCAATGAAAATGAAGGTGTTTATGTTAATCTTTATATATATATATATATATNTTTTAATATTTTTTCTTTTCGTACGCCTTCACAAAGATAATGTCTATGTAAAAATGTAATTGTTTTTTTTCAAATATTAATTCATTCATTAAATTTAATTAATTAATTTCAGTTTCATATTAGAGAAAAAATAGTAATTATTAAATAAAAAGTAACTAAAATAAATTATTTCTTTGTTGATCTAAATAGGAATTGACTTTTTTTTTCTAATATTACTTGTTTTAGTCATTTGATAGTTGCGATGTTTGAACAAATTAATATGGGTTTTCGAATCTCTTGAATGTAAATTTAATATTTAAATACACTTTATTATTAAGTTTTAACTCTTCCAAAATGAAGCTTTCCGCAACAAGAAGGAGTTGAAGGGGGAGGGAGTCATCTTTCCGAGGATACCTTTTACAAGAAAGTAGCTGAGTTGGTAACTCATTAAATCGAAAAATCATTAGTTCCAGATCACAACATCAACACCAGAGATCCGGTTGTTTCTAATCGACCGCTGACTACGCAACTCTTCATATTACATCCACTTCGGGGAAACAATTTTGAATTATAATATGTGTGTGTAATATTAGACATGTCATTTTTGTAACCATGTGCAAAAACCACCTTAATAACCATTGATTTTCCCAGGCTAAGATGGTGTCTTGATGACTTTAAATGTCCCAGACCAAATTATTTAGACGCACTCCTATGGAAAACCTTAATTATCAAGTGATACAGTTTTATTGTTTTGCACTTGCTTACGCGTTCGTGTATCAAATGGCTAAATTAGACGATATATGATATAAATTCGACTATTGGATACATTAGACGATATATAATATAAATATAGAATATTTATTATATCAATCATTATATTAGTATATTATAATAAATTAAGACTAAATGATGAGACGAACTGTAGTGTTTTAATAATGACATGTTTTGCACGAGTTTATCGGCAATACTTTTATAGTTAAACATGCATGAAATATGTTTTTATTCTGGAGATTTTTTATGTACTTTCTATTTGTGTTTATTTTTAACGTATTGCATCACAATGTTAACCCCAATTGATACAGCTGCGTCAACAAATGCAAACTGGTTTCCTCCGAGTAAAAACAATACAGATGTACAAGGGCACCGGCAGAATAATATAAAAGGGGGTGCAACCCTCTAACAAACTACTCCCCTCCCCCCCCCAAATTTTTTTTTTTAAGTGTTCTGTTATTGCATCTTGTTTTGTTATTACATATACTTTCATCTGTTAATTTTTTTCAAGATACATTTCTTCATTGTTAAGAAGATTTTTTAAAAAAAAGTATGAATTTCTTGTACTTGCAAATTTTGGCCACGAGAAACTGTACTGATGGCGCTGGCGTAGCTACTGACTTTGAAACACACATTACTACTAACAGTAGTTTCGTATACTAACGTGTTTGTGCGTGCTTAACATAGGTATTTATTGTGTTGATGAAGTTTTACAGTTGTGAGAAGTCAGTTTGTGTTATACACCTTTGTTAAACTAAATAACTAATAGAAAATATAATATTATTTATATTTTATAAAATGAAGTTTTAAAATATAGCTTTGATATCTGCCAAGTTTGAGCATGCTCAGTGTGCGTAAGAAAAGAATCAAAGATGACTCAGAATTCATTGAAAAAGTTATAAGCAGATTTGGACAGCAGATAAGACGATTACAGTTCTTGTTTGATTAAACAATTTTTTAATTGTTATGTATCATTTATTGCTTTTGAATAAAATTTTGCTTTTGCAACAGAGTGCTTTGTTTTGCGGCACTCTGTTTTGCGGATATAATCGTGTGGGCTGAAGAAAAGATTATATCTCTTTTTTTCTCGGTTTTATTTTTCCGGTTTTTTAAATAAAATTTCATCCTTTTTTCTTTTTTTTTAAACTGTTGTTGGTTATTTTTTTACTTATTATTTCCCCCCCTTTTTTCATATGTCTATAATTTTTCTTTGTTTTATTCNATATATATATATATATATGCCGCCCAATTATTAAATAATCGTAATAAGATGTAAAATCTTTTGAACTGTTCTTTAAAACGTTTAGAAACCTATAGATTAGAAAAAGATATGTTTATACAAAGACAGTACATTTTTGTGTAACCTAAAATATCGTCTGCTCGAATTATTTAGCATGTTTCGAGACTCGATGTTGATACGTCCATTCAGTGGTTTTTAAAAGTTTCTGTTTTTCAATTTATAGTAACGAAGCGCCACTTTTTAACAATCGAATCTAAAGTTTTTTTTTACTATGTTTTTTATTTCTTTTTGTAATGTAAAATTTAAGAAATTTAAAAAATTCGAATAAACTAAGAACATTAATTTTATTAAAAAAAAAAAAAGAAGATATACTATCCAATTTATAAATTGAGAAATATATGAACTAGAGAGTAAATAAACAGTAAGGATTCATTCCTGTTTTTTTAACAGACTGTATAAAATTGTTGGGTTGTTAGGCTTACTAATCTAAAGCGAATAATATAAGAGAATATTCGGAGGAATAGAAAAAGCTGTATAGAGAGGACCCGCAAGGAAAACAATATATTTACTTAAAAAGAGACATTTGTTACCTGTCACGGAAAGGTTCTCTTTTCAAAGCAAGACATCTACCCTTATTGATTCTGACATTTACGAATTGCAAAGATTATATTCTTCCCATCAAATGACATTATATATATATATATATATATATTGCTTTTACGAGATTGAAACCGGTTTGCANTTTTTCTTTCTTTTTGTATTTATTTATTATGCTATATATATATATATATATATGTATATAGTCTCTGGCCAGCCAAATTATTATAAGATAAGATTCTATGTAAAATCCTAATTATTAGGTGATACTATACAGCTTTATTGCTTTTACGAGATTGAAACCGGTTTGCACTTGCTTACGTTCATGTATCAATGGCAATGGGTTAACATTGTCCTGCAATTAGTTAAAAATAAATACAAATAGGAAGTATGTAAAAAAATCTCCTGAATGACATTACATGTTTGCTCACACGTTTGTTTAAATATAAAAGTATTGCCTATAAACTCGTGCAAAACATGTCATTGTTAAAACACTACAGTGCGTCTCATTATTTGATCTAATTATTATAATATACTAATATAAAACCTGATATAATAGATATAAGTTCTTTTCATAGTTGAAGACTAACATTGTCGAATGCGACTATCCCCTCAAGGGGAAATCGAAATTCAGTCTAAAATTACTTCCAATAAAGTATTGTGAAGAAGAAAAAAAAAGACTACGGGAAAACGCAAATAAACAGGGATCATTACTAGATATTAGTGGATTAAATTTGCAGTTTTTTCTTCTTATTGTTATATAGCGGCCTTCTTTTAACACTAGGTTTAAAAAATCCCTCAGCTGGTATATATAGACAGCCCCTTTTTGCAGAATATTTGTGGATGCCCTTTTTTCATCACCCGCTAAGTAGATTAGATTGTCTCCTTCATGAATTGTGAAATTCCCTCGGGATCTCTTCTTTATTTTGTTCACCTTTAGGGGACAAATTGTAATGGAATCGGGGAGAAGGATTTTCTTTTCAATAAACTCATTATGGTCACAGTTATAATTTAGAAAGGAAGTCCCCTCACTTTGAAGAAAAGTGAGTGATCACACATAACCTTATTTTTCTTCCGAGATAAAATTGGATAGTAAAAAAATAATATTTATATTTATTTTAAAGGAGTTCACACTTTTTAAAAAATATATTTTGCTCGTCAGCACCGCTTATTCATCCTTGTTTTTCTCCCCTTAAAATTCAATATTTTTTTTAATAAAAAAGGAAAGATAATTTTGTTTATAAAATTGTTTATAATTTTGTTACAAATATTATTATTTTATGTAAGAATAAATTTTTAATGTGTCAATTGTAACGAAATGAAGGATTACTTAAATTTGAAAGAGAATCAACTGCATTTGAACAAGCAATGCAAAATGAAAAAAACTTTAAAGTCAATTACTACTTAAACCAACAAAGAAAATTTCCCTTTTAGTTACTTTTAATTACACAATTACAATTGTTTTCTCCCATATTAAAACTAAAAAAAATGAATTAAATTTAATGAATGAATTAATAGTTGAAAACACTGTGTTAACATCAAGTATCATTCACTACAACTTTAAAAATAATGTATTTGAATTTGAGTGGAGAATAAAAAGTATTTTTCTAACAATTGAAAATTGGAAGAAGATGTATAAATATTTATAGGGAGAGCGTGAACTAATAGTAGGAACTAAAACCACGTGCTACCACGTGCCACACGTGCTACCACGTCATGTTCTTCATTGAATTTATCTTACACAGCGAATATAAAATAATTAAATACTTAAGTGTGCGTTATAAACTATCTTTTTTTGTTCAAATAGAGCTATAAGTTAGAAATTATCACTTCTTAAAAATATTTGTTAAAACTGAATCTCTTATAGTAAAATTTAAAACAATGACTAAAACGCTTAACCCATCCGAAAATTTCATTTCGTTTATCGCTCATCCTTATTTAATGAATGAATTAATAATTGAAAAAACTGTATTAACATCATCCACTTCAAGTTTAACAAAAACTGTATTTGAACTTGAGTGGATCAATAAAATGTATTTTATTAAAGATTGAACATTTGAACAAGATATGAGACAAGTATGAACTAATAGTAGGAATTGAAAAACTAATATTTTAAATATAATCATTAACTAAA